TTGATCAACATTTTGCGAAGGATCTGTGATCATGGAGAGATGCTGCTGCCTCCGGCTGACGTGCGACTCTATCGGGACAGACAGGACCCAATTTCAGAGTCCGGCTTATGTGGCGAGCAGGAGGAGGAAGATGATGGAGAGTGCCAGTCCTCTCCAAGCCGCGTCGACATTGTTCCGTCAGCCAAGGTCACGCGCCTGATTGACAACATCCGCAGGGAGCAGCAAGCAAACAGCACTGTCCCCAGCCAAACGCCAGTGAAGAGGTGAGAAGGTGTTGTTCTGCGGGATGCTTGTCAGAGCTAGACTTGACTGACAGCTTCTGTGCCAGTGTGGTGTTCAGCTACTGGACGGGCATGTTGGATCTGATCGAGCCCCCCCTTCGCAAAGCAGGTTTCTCATTCCGCCGCATCGACGGGCAAGGGTCTCTGAGGCATAGAGCCGAGGTACTCAGTGCTTTTAGTGAAGATCCGAGCTGCACCGTGCTGCTGGCTAGTCTTGGGTCTGCTGGGGAGGGGTGAGTCCTCCCGGTCCAGTACACTGCCTACCAAAAGAATGGTAGCTGACACGCGCCGCTACTGCTAGACTTGATCTTACCGCTGGGAACTGCGTCCACTTGATGGAACCGCACTGGAACCCAACGGCAGAGGCCCAGCCAGGCGCTCGACCGGGTGCACAGGCTGGGACAGCAGCGAGATGTCGTGACGACCCGGTATATTGCTAACAACTCGATCGAAACGGCATGTACCGATGTGCTCACCCTGCATGGAAAGAATATAACTGACGGTACTAGTACGTCCAAGGTGTTCAGCAGCAAAAGCTGAAGGTCATCGACCAGTCTTTGGCGGGTGCGAGTATAGAGCATGGCATCTTCAAGGTTAGAGTTATATCTCGCCGGCAGTGGCGATACTCCCTGGGATATAATAACTAACTTAGGTTTTTAATTCAGACTCTGTTAAATGCTCTCAGAGTAAAATAGGTATACCTAGGTATTCAACAGCTCTTCCATATCCACTGGGTCGGGCTTTCTGTACATTGTCTGCCCCCGTCGTGCTCTCTCCTCCTGACTCCAATCTACAAGCTCATCCCACGTCATACCCAACCATTTCTGTATATTTTGAGCACCAAGCTCCATACCCGGGAGAATCTTCTTGTTGCCCTTTGATTGTTTCATTGTTGACGTACAGGTCTTATAAGGGTCTGCACCAGAAAGCAGGAGAAACTTCGCAAACTCTGCCGCTTCCGGGGATGCCCTTCTCAGAGTCGCGTGCAAAGGACAGGGGCGGTTCATGTAGCTAAGGTTAAAACGTGCCCCTGATTCTACCAGGAACCTTGAGAAAACATGCGAGCGTGATCCAATCACGACGTTTCGCAGGATTCCAGTCAAGTCTTCGGTGCTGAGGGCATGAAAGGGCTGACGGTTGGCCAAGAAACCGACGAGCCGAGGCTCTTGCGCGGCGCTGATGGTGAGCTGGCGAGACCCAACCAGCACCTTCACTATTTGCAAGCCCGAGTCGCTACCACATATGACAGCTAAAGTGTCGAACGCCCACAAGGAGTCCGAAGCGAGGACAGCTCGGATGCCATAATCGTACCTGAAAGGGAGCAAGGGTATCATAGCCCCCTCGTTCTCCCCTTTGATGGCAAGCCTTATCAGTTCCCGGAAATCTAATGCTGGAGATAATTCCCGGTAGGCCACAAAAAAGAGGCGGCACATGGGTTCTGATCCCGAGAATGCAACTCGTCTCTGCAAGTCTTCCCAAATGAGGTGCTCGTATAATAAATCTTTCTTGTGGACGGCGTGTGCCAGTACTAGCGCATCGACATCGGACACACGGTCGGCGGCCACGAGCTGCGCCAGCCGAGCCCTCGCCTCCATGTAGTCGTTGGGAATGGCGCTATCCAAGGCCGCTGTCTGCCGTGAGGATGTTTCTGGGTGCAGGGAGCTACAGTGATCGTCTCTTGTCTTCTGCGATGTGAAGCCGATGATGGCGAATTCGCAGTCCGGCGTGCTGCACTTGAAGGGACGTTCGTGTCGGACGACATGGGCATCTCACGCCGATTTCGTTGTGAAGCCGAGTCGGTTAGAGGGACAGAGAATGTAGTCGCATTTGTAAAGCCCGGGGCCGTAATGGAATTGAAGTTTGGTCACATGGTTCGTAGTGGCCATGGTCCGGTCCAGCAGGTGATGGATGCGCGATGACGATGCTGAGAGTGTTGTTGGATCAGTCTGGGTCCAGGTGTCTGCCTCTCTAAGACGCCAGTTGCCGGTGTCCCGTTTCTTCTTGTTGAAATTCGCTACTCGGCAGAGGAAGGCGTGTATCTCTGGGAAGTCGTCCTTGACGGATTCCAGTGCAGCCGGTTCGAAGAGATGCTCCGAGTCCCGGGAAGGACTCCCTCTTGCTGTCACAAAGTCTTCCAGTGCCAAAACCAAGCGGCCTGGTACAGCTGCGTCTTTCGAACCGATGATACAAAGCCGAGTGAGGTTGTACCACTGATCGCAGGCAAAGTAAGACAAGCGAAAACGCCCAGAGATAACGTCTTTCTCGAGATCGTCGTCACCCGCGTCTTCGTCGAACAAGTCCGTAGACAAGTATCTGAGGCACGTCTCTGTCAGGTCGAGAAGTGCGCCGCTTGATTCAATGAATCCTCCATTAACGTCACGGGCACAAAGGTACCTGCTGAATGTCAGCATCGGTGGTTCATAGCCTTAGGGATGTTGAGACCGTACTCCTTCACGGTGAAATGGACAAATTGCAACTTGTCTTCCACCACTTCAACGAGAGGTCCGCAATATTGTATCACATTCATGGATGCTCGGATTGGATGGAGTTCCTCTTGCACGCCTGGATCCAGCAGGATAAACTGCTCCATCTCACGGACCATGATGGGCAGCGGCGAGCATGCAATGTACGCCAGGATGCGTTTGCCGATTTTGCAAACCGAGCTCGGCATGTCGCTGATTCGTTGAAGAACCCTCTGGCAACTGCGCACAAACGTCAATCGCTGCCTAGGGATGTTTGGCGCAAGACTGACACTTACGCTTCGGCCAGACTTTTAGGGGGGACTCGGAGCTCTTGTCGGATGAGCTCGATCTGGGGTGGCAGCATCTTGATGGTGCTCATGACAAGATGGGCATAAAGAAACATCCCTGAATAGATACAGATACAAGATTAGCTCTCCTGGCCCTGACAACAGGAAAGTATGCAAATTACCTTCGGCATCGATGGGCAGAAAAACCAAGAGACTCTTAAGGTCAGACCGGGTTTGCTTGTCGAAGCCCGCGAGCCAACGGTGCGACTCTGTTGCGATGTATTTTCTGATGCAACCCGCGTTCTTTTGGTCCAACCGGATGACCCCATGCTGAGAGTCCCGGAAAAGACGCTCGATGTTCTCCTCCCGTCTGCTGCTGACGAAGAGTTTAAGAACACCCTCGCCACCGACTCTGGCTCCGAGACTCAAAAGCTGCTCGAGAATGAGGTGGCGACCGGCGTCTTCAATCTCATCAAGCCCGTCGACGATGATGTAGACGGGGCTGGGGGCGCATTTTATCAGCTTGAGAAGCGTGTCCGCAGCGAACCTGGTGCTGCTCTTGAGATCCCGCTTCCGATCGCGGGTCGGGCACCTGAGCTCGCTACAGAGTGCTACGCGGAGGTCTGCATCGAGGGCAACAAGCTGAAAGAGGAGGGTCTGAAGCACAATGAGTGCTGTTGCTTCTTCGTTGTACCGTAGGAAAGAGAACAGCTCGTAGCCTTTTGTCATAGCATGGTCCACAACCCGCGAGGCCACGTAGGTCTTGCCCGCGCCTGGAAAGCCCTGGAGCCAGACGATGTTTGTTGAGGAGTCTGTGGGATCCAGCCACCGATTGAACGTCTCGTCCTCCGTCAACCAGTCTGCCGTGCCCTCGCAAATGGACGTGCGAAGTTGGTCCAGACGCTTGTCGTATGAGATGGGCTGGATGTGTTGTTCGACATTGTGGAAGAACTGGGCGTCCCTCGCTTGTCGCTCGTCGTTGTAATGCTTGTGCGCGGCCATCCACTCGTCGTGAGCCTTGGAGATGTGTGCCAGGGTGACCTCCTCGACCATGAGTCGACCATGCTTCTCCATGTTCTGGGCGACGAGGTTGATCTCGTCCCGGCGGACTGGCCACAGGGCTTCGAATGCAATACGCCAACCTGGGGGGGTCATGATTAGTTGACCAAGAGGTAGTCATGGCACGGCGGAGGGACTCACCTTTCAATGCAAAAAAGTTCAGAGCAGCAAGGTAAAAGTCGAGAATGTCACGAAAGATGAGGGCCAGGACGCGATTGACCCGCGGGTTAGCTTCCAAGAGCTTTGCGTAGTCGGTGAAGACGGGCAGCCGGTCGCCAACCAGAGACATGACGTCGACAATGGCGTCCATGGACTTGACGAGGTTGCTCGAGAGGTGGATGAGGAGCTTGATGGGACCCCAGATCAGGGCCAGGACGTCAGGGTTTACCTGCACAAAGATACCAAGAACCTTGCTGTATTCGTCCAGCCGATCGAGGAATGTCCTAATCTTACCCAGGCTACGAAGGGTCTTGCGCTTACCCTGGTCCTCCTGGAGTCGCTTCGTGGCCTCGTAGACTTGGTCGATGGTCGTGATTTTGTCGATTTCGGCCTTTAGCGTCGGGTCCTTGAGCTGGCGGTAAAACTCCTTCCTGCTGGATTCGAGAGCCGCGCCGATCGGATCATGAGACGGAGAGGCGAGAGGCGGCGCCGCAACTGCTGCCATCTTGTCACGGGGAGGCAGAGAGAGGAACTACCATGAAGCGATGACTGGAGCAAGTTGGGCATGCATCTTTGAGACGAGCAGGCTCTGGGATACATGCTCTCTTGCGGCGTGACCCCGACATGGTGGCCGGAATTTGGGAGAAGAGGTCAACAGCGTGACGGCCAACGCCGACAGCAAAAGGGTAGCGAGGCGAGAATATCATCACGCCCAGCATCCGAAACCCTTGGAAAGGTCGGGCAAAAAGGTACTCTCCCGCCGGGAATTGAACCCGGGTCTCGAGCGATGACATTGCATTGGATGACAAGCTCACATACTGACCACTATACTACGGAAGATTTACAGATGTGGGCATCTGTCGTAGTGCTGGTTGGTTGATGGTGGGTGCCGTAATAGGGTGTATGAGGTATTTTGGGTCAGGCGAACCCCGCTCCTCAGCAGAATCATCACGAGGAGGGGTCGAAATTCCCTTTTGCTGGGGACATCAATCTGCATCACCAGCGAGAGCAGCAGCTCCAGGCGTCATGACAGATGGAAAGGAACAATTGCGCCAGCTGAAATATAGCGCCTGGGGTATACCGTAGCTAAACAAGACCAGAAATGGAGGTAAAAAAATAAAATAAAAAATCGTTCCCTCCTGCTCTGATCTAGGGCGTCAAGCCCAAACAAGGCCTCGCGATGCCATCACCCCCCATACAGACGGCGCATCCGGTACTGTGTATAAACCTAGAAATGGATTCGAAGCCGCTTCGTTTGTCGTTCGGTGGTTTTTCCGTGTTTCGGTTACGTCCAAAGGTCGTCAGTCCTCTCGTCTAGTCTTCCTAGGTTGTCGCGACTGTGGCATGCCACATGCCTTATATCCTGCGACCATTATTCATTCTTCACCCCCCTGGTCGTGCCCGACGCCGCCCTGGTGAGACCGTTGATGATCTCGTCGCCAAACTTGTAGACCAAGATGCCGGGGAAGACGATCCATGCGCCACTAGAAGCAGCCCAGGTCAGCGGGCGAGCCTAGAGCAGAAGAGGCGGGTGCACCTACTTGGGGATGATCCAAAAGACAAACAGATGAACAGGCGGGTTATGGCCAATATTCGCGAACCCCGAGAACGCTTCGTTGAGCCCTGCAGCACGCCAACGCAGTCAGCACACGGGCTGCACCACTCCCGCAACCTCGGGGCCAACTCACAGTACAACACAGTCTTGACAAACGTCGTCAAAAACGCACTGTATCCCACCAACACCGCCAACGCAGCCGCCCGCCCCGTCAACACCCCCCTCCCGTTCCCGTTCCCCTTATACCAAATCCCCAGATACACCAAATACCCCAGCGTCTCCACGCCGTTCACCACCGTCTGCGCCGTATTCCACCCCCCGCCCGCATTCCACTCCTTCCACCCATACGTCCAGTCCAGCTCGCACTGAATCGCGTACGGCGCCCACACTGGCCAGTGCCACTTGCCGCCGGGCATGCTGTGCGGGCGCAGGAGGACATAGCCCATGTCCCAGAGGACGAGGGGGAGCGAGAGGAAGAGCCAGGCGAGCGTGAAGGTCGCGGGGGTGTGGGACCATACTGGGAGCGCGGCGGCGCGCGGTGCGCGCGTCTTGGTCGGGGAGGACATGGGAGGGGGCGATGAGGAGCGGCCGCCGCGGGGGGTGAGCAGGGCGGCGGAAGAGGAGCGGGTTGAAACCATCGTGGTAAGCGCGCGCGTGGTAAGGGAAATAATCAGCGACGACGAGTCGCGTAGTGGTTTCTGGTGGTGATGTCGTGATGCCGTGGTGTTGTCGCCGCGTTAGTGTTGTTGTTTGTGTCTAAGACTCGGAGGGGAAAGGAGGAAGGACCCGATAAGAGGGGGTGGGGCAGAATCAACCCCGGGACGTCGGGCGACAAGGGACAGCGCGCTTGGTTCCCGTCTGATTAAGGGTCCTATTGTCACGCGTTGGGGTAATTTCCAGTCCCTGATCCCTGTGGCAAATCAGGACGTCCAGTCAGCAGATTAGTACCCGGCTTTAATTAAGGAAATTGCTAGGGGTATAGAAGTACTTTTAGCTAGAGCGTAATAGTCCTTGATTTTTATAATAAAGTTAGGGTTATATATATAGAAAGGAGCTAGCTTTTAAAATAATAATAATAAAAAGATAATAGCTAAAAAAAAAAAAAATAATAATAACGTGATCCACCAGCGAGCTGCGCACCCCACCGAGCTGCGCACTTTTCCAGACATCGCGACTGCAAACTGCGAAAAGTCCACCAAAAACACATGCAATCAATTGAAACTACTCAGAATCACTTGAAATATCAATCGCTCCAGCATCTGGACATGTCCTTGCATTGTGGCCGGTCTTACGGCAGATGCCACAGAGCCGCGCACCCGTCCGACGCCTTTTGGATGGACCCCTATTTTCCTCCTTGACGCGCTCTTCCTCCTTAACCACACCCTTCTCTACTATTATCTCCCTGGCCTGGCTTCCATTAATTACTCCTCCATCCTGGAGACGCGTTTTTTTAGCCCTTCTTCGCTTCGAAAGTACCGTATTAGCCGCTCGCAATATCTGTACCTCGGCCTCCAACAAGTGGATCCGATAGGAAACCGCTTACATTCTTTTCGAAAGCTGGTCGACAGCGGCCAAAATTGGAGTCGGAGAGCTTCCCTGGTATCTGGTAATTCGACCTTTAATAAGAGTCGACTGCGAAAGGGCTTCGTTAGTAGTTGTAGGCGTCTTAGAGACCTAAGGTGTCGGCGGTCTATCGCGGGTCCCAGGAGGTGTTGGCGTCCGTAACTTTACATCCAGCTTCGAAAGTACAGCCTGCGGGTCGTAGGGGATAAGTCCGGACCCTCGAAAACCCCCGAGAACGTTTTCTTTGGAAAAAGTGCGGTAAAAGGTAGCCCTAAACGTAAGGAAGAACTCGGACTTTGTAATGTAGGTGATTTAGGCTTTGATAAAGTACTCGATTTTAACGCTATATATCTTCTTAAGGACGCTAAAACAACCTACGTCTAAAGGCTGGGTTAGATACGAGGAATAGGGAGGTAGGTAAATAGTAATAATGTTATTCTCCTTATAATATTTCTCGAATTCGGCGCTAACGTAGCTCTTATAGCTATTAAGGACTAGTATCCGATATCTACCTATCTAGCGGCCTTTAGTATACTTATCGAAATACTGTAACTAATCTAGACCGGTTGTATTATCCATTTATCTATTAGGCGTTATTTTAATAGCCTAGTTATCAGGAATCTAGTATTCGGAGTACTAACTCGTAAGGTAAAAGCGGCCCTTTACTACTAAAAAAAGGGGTATTATAAAGCTATCGCTAGCGATATTATAAATTACGGTCGCTTATTCCTGATTCTCTAGCTAAATAGCCTTTAGTTTCCCGACCCGATCGGAGCACGTAACAACTATCCTAGGCTAAATTATACCTATTATAAAGCCCGTCTCGTTAAAGTTATAGAAGTTAGTATCCGTAATACTATATTTCGCCCGTATATTAGTAACCAGTCGGAACTACAGCTTAAGAATTACAGGATCTTCGTAAAGGCCTCTCTAATAGTTATAGACGCGATTAAAACGCGTCTTTAACTCCGGGCGTCGCGTAATAAAGCGTACTAGCCAGTTCTTTCCAACGGGACGCGTATGTCGTTTCTGAAGTAGAAGATTAGCCATATCTCTAACATCAGCGACCCGGGGCGAAAATCCTCGCGAATCCCGATTAAGTATGTATTGGACAATTACCTCCTCTTCTACTATTGTTAGGTTTTAAAAGGCGTTAATACTAAGGGCTTTGGGAGTAACTCCGGTCATTCTGGCGCGGAGGGTTAATTTAGGGACGTTGTAGATCGCAGCTGCGCGTCGGCGGGAAAGTTTTTAGGTTGTACGGATAGCCTCGATAGCAAGGATAATTCTCGCTTCTTTGGTTTGCACAGACATTCTGTTGTTGTGGTATGGTGGAGCAATTGCTGATAGAGGTCGCGATGTCTGGAAAAGTGCGCAGCTCGGTGGGGTGCGCAGCTCGCTGGTGGATCACGTTAATTTTATTATAATTAACAAAGCCCGCTTGTAAAGCGTTATTTATTTACGTTGTTTTAATAAAAAATTTAATTTATATTTAGCTTTATAATTAATTATAGTATTTACTATTTAATTACTTAGATAGCTAAGCTTAGGAAATATAAATTAAGTAAAAAAAAACTTCTTCGCTTAGATATTTTCATTTTTAATTTTTAATTTTATTTATTTAAATATTATAACGTGCTTTATAAGCGAGTGTACCAGATAAGCGAGTGCACCACTTTTCACCACCTTATAGATACTCTCGTTAATTGTAAAACAACAATACTAAGAACTAACTATAATTATATTAGAAGCAACTAAATCAGATACTTCTACAGCCTCCTGGCAAGTGCGGGCATTATGGCCAGGCTTGCCGCACACACCACAGCACCGAACCTTCGTACGACCCCCCCCTACACCACTCCCATCCGCCTGTATTTCTTGCGCTCCCTCCCTACCTACGGCCCCTGGGCCTAGTAGATCTATTGCATCTTGTAGAGTAAGTGATCCTCTAAGCTGTACACGTGTCCTTTTGGCTCTCCGGCGCTTACTTAGTACCTCGTTGGCCTTACGGAGCGAAGCGTTCTCTGCCCGAAGGAGGGCCACCTGGTGTATTACAGCCATCGTACCCTTAGTGAGCTGGTCCACAGCAGCTAATATCGAGGTTGGGGAGCTGTTTTGATAGTTGGTAATGCGAGTCTTGATAAGTATTGACTGCGAGTCGGCTTCTCGGGGGTTGTGGGGTGTCTGGAAGACCTAAGGCTGTGTAGTGCCAGGCCGTAAGGTTAGGAGTGTTGGCGTACGAAGCTTGATATCCAACTTGGAAAGCACCCTCTCTGGATCGAATGGAATAAAGCCAGCCCCTACGAAGCCGCCCTAGATATTCTTCTCGGTAATGGAGGCGAAAAAGGCCTCGCGAAAGGTACAGAGGAACTCCAGCTTGCTAATATAGTTAATATATATACGTATTAAGTCCTTAACCTGGCGGCCGTACGCCTGCTTCAGTGGCCTAAAGCAGCCAACATCGAGTGGCTGGAGGAGGTGGGAGGAATGCGGAGGCATATAGAGCGTAATGATGTTGTTCTACTAGTAATGGAGCTCGAATTCGGTCGAGTGGTAGCTCTCGTAGCCGTCGAGGATTAATAACTGATATTTACCTTTCGTACGAGGTACCGTATAAAAGTCGAAGTGCTTAATCTAATCCAGGCCTACTGTATTAGTCGTCTAGCTATTATCGGTTGTTGTAATACGCCAGTCGGCTAGGAGGTTACATTCGGTATATTAG